AGAAGTCTTGTAACCTATTTCATAATTTCGATGGAGCAAAATCGCTTGTTCGACATTGTGGATGCTCAAGTTTTGGAAGAAGATAAGAAGGAAGAGATTGCTTCAGTTGCTAACCTTGCGAAAAGGTGCTTACACTTAAATGGGAGGAACCGACCTACAATGAAGGAAGTGGCAATGGAGTTGGAGGGGATAAGGAAGCTCCGAAATCCTTTGGGCATTCAGCAAAATCAGGAGGACCGTGAGGCAACTAAATCTTATGATGTTGCTTTTCCATCTAGCAAGTCAAACATTGATATGGATGTCATTACATTGTCGGATGTGCAGCCACTCTTACCTAGTGACACGTGGTGAAGATCTTCTTTGCCTCTTACACTTATGAGTTATGTTGCTGTGTTTGTCTTGGAAATCGATGCTCAGAGCAAAAGAAAGAAGGGAGGAAAACTTGTTCGTTTACTAGTAGGAGGACTACGTTCATTATGTATTGTTATGAACTTGTTCTCGATGTTTGGGATCAATAAACTGTTATGTCATACCTATCCCAAATTTATTTAGGTTCTGTAATTAGCTAGGTATGATTGTACGGTGTATGTGCCAATTGGGAAATACTTTGCAAATCACAATCATCTAGCTCGAGCATGATGCAATGATTTTGGTTCATTTTGAGATTCATATATACTTGTTGTCAATTTTATCATTGCAAAAGTTACATCAATCACACGAGTACTCATACGAACAAACATCTTTGTTGCATCAGCCTTCACCATTCAATCAGTTTGTAATTCGTGTGGAAATCTTCTAGACTAACCATGTTACGTCTTGATCGGCACATAGGAGGCTCTTGGAAATACAGGGGAGAGAGACAACGACGTCCTAATCTAATGAAATATATGAATTGTGGCGCTCTTTGGAGAAGTCAATGACGACATTGACTTGTGGTCGTCTTTATTTTGGACACATGTCCCACTATCGAACTTTTCTTTTCTCTTTTTTATTTTCCACAAACTCTAAAAGAAAAATCCAAAAACAGTTTTTGAATAACCTTAGAAGCTTCAACATTGCTATACTTAAGTAGGAAAAGGGTAGATAATAACATTTTCTAGCCACATTTTTACCAAAATGATTCAATTGAAAGTTATTAAATATACCAAGACAGATGTCCTCCATATAGGACTTTTCTTTTCTCCTTTTGACTTTCTACAAACTTTAAGAAAACATATTCAAATAATCTTTCGAAGAAAAATGACAGTAGAAAGCTTCATCATTGCTACTCTTAAGCCGGAAAAAGATTATTAATTAAACTTTCTAGGCTTCTAGCCACATTTTCACCAAAATGATTCATTTGAAAGTAACTACATATACTGAGACAAAGGATGTGGCACAAAGTTCAAACTAAAACGTTAGAATTACAACTAAACTACATCTAACTAACAAAATTTAAAAATTTAAAAAAATTATAAACACACAATGCTAAGAACCTAAAACTCTAGCACTAAATGAGGTTTAATTACTTTCTTAAATAATATAACAATGCTAAACTAAGATTAATCCAGAATCTAAAGAAAGATCATAATTATGTTAAATATGAAATTATAAGCGACCGAGCTAATCAATACAAGAAAAAAAAAAAGATTGGCAGTGCAATGTAAAATTTTGTGGCAATAAGCAAAGATGTGGAACAAATATTTAATCCAATGTGGAAGAGAAGAATTTGCACGATTTTTGGTCTAGCAAAAATTAAAAGGATCCAATGTATACAAGGAACAATTCAAGTTGATAAGGAAAGGAATAAATTGTTAGTGGTCTGCCTTAGGAATCAATCAAGGTTGATACTCTAATATTAGTTCCGGATTAGGTTGTGTCGGAAAACCGACCTTCACTATACTTAGGTAGTCATAATGTCTTGCTAGAGACCGCTTATGACTTGTGGGCCAAAAAGGGTTTTGAGCACACTGCTAATGTTTAGTGAATCTACAGGGTTGCACACAATAACGAACTGAGTTAATATTTTTTGTGGGCCGGGATCTACTTAAAATAAGAAGTAGATTTTAATTTATTCTCCTATTCAACTTATATATGCAGTCATGCACGTTATGAGATAACGATTAAATGTACGATTGAAAGTGGACAGTTTGGCGGGCCCAAATCGCCCGGCCTCACTTCTTTTAATTCGCGTAGATAATGAATATATATATATATATATAGCATGCGGGTAAAAAGAACCCTAAGAAAAAACACCTCCAAGAGAATACGAAGAGAATCGTTCTCTATTTAGATATCTTTCAGAGAGTCTCGAAGATCAAAGGCGATCAAGAAAAAGAAGTCCAAGATCTTTAGCTAGCACTTTGATCGTTGGAGACTTTCGTTCATGTGTATGGATACCGGTAGAGACGCAACACTTGGGGCGCTAATTCAGACACAATCGATTGTCAATTTACCTTCGATCTGCAAAAAGGTACGTGTCGAACTTCTGTTTAGATTTCAATATACGCATGGATCATGTCTAGGGTTTCGGTTTATAAATTCCGCTGCGTTTTTAGCACTTGAGAAACCCTTCAGTGGTATCAGAGCTACTTGCGATATATTGAAGTTGAATAGGAAACCCTAATTGTTGATACATATGATGTATGCCTGAATTGATTCTAAATTAGAGTTAGATGAATTGGGAATATGAATTAATATGATCAATTCGAGTAATTTCACATTGAAACGAATTTGAATTCCTGCAATAATGTGGATTAATGTGATTGATCCAAAGGCATTTTGTTAAAAAAAAAACTAGAATTACGAATTCTATTTAGGGTATTACGAAGGAACGAAGCAGGACAGCCTTAGAGGCAGTTTAGTTGAAACTGCCCACCCTAGCAAGGACGGTTTAAGGAGACGAATAGAATCCTGAGAAAACAGAATTGAGAATTATATCTAGGTTTCGGGGGCAAGCCCCCGAGCCCCTGCGAGGGGCGCTGCACTTTCGAACCCCGCTCGCTGACCGATCAGCGAGACCACCGTAAGGGGCTCTGCCCCTTGACCCCGCAAGGGGCGCTGCCCCTCGACCCCGCAAGGGGGCGCAGCCCTCTTGACCCCTGCATGGAATTGTTCGTTCTCATATGATTGATGTACCTTTGTTATGATAAGTGATGCTTCGTTTTTGTTCATAACATGCATACATTTATCACTAAAAAAAACATTAATAGTCCCTAATAAAATTATGTAATAATATGATGCCTTTTCAATTATACACCTATTAAGACTTGAATCGTCAAAAGATGGATCTGCCAAAGCAGGGTGTCTTTAACTATTTGAGTAAAATAGGATGGATAATGGTTATCCATAGGTAAAGATTGGTTTACTTAACGAGGCTATCAAAACAGTTTTGGCCTTGAGGCATAGTGTTTGGGGATAAGATATGAGATGTCAACCCCAACAACCAAGAGTTGTATTCGGTACAATTGACAAAGAGTTGTCTACCTAAATAACTTAGTCTTGAGCGGTAAGCCAAAGTTTACTCGAGTCTTGGTAAAATATGGATCTTGGTCCACTATACTTATTGGGACACATATTATAAAAGTATAGTGGGAGTTTATTATAAATAATATTAATGAACAATTCACTTTGCATATTTGTTGTAGATAATGGCAAATAGCTTTGCATCAAACTTTTCACTGCGATCTGTCCTTGATAAAGATAAATTGAATGGTTCAAACTTCTTGGACTGGTATAGAAGCTTGAGAATTGTTCTCAAGTAGGAGAAAAAGGATTATGTCTTGGAGAAACCACTTCCCCAGAAGGCACCTCCTTCCAACGCTCCTCATGCTGAAAGGAATGCTTATCACACTACAAAAAAATAAGGTTTTAGCCACGAATTTTGCCACGAAAAATTCGGCAAAATTTGTCGCTAAATGAATTTGCGACGAAAAAAACTTCGTCGCTAATTCGGCGTCGCAAAATTTAGCCACGAAAAATTTCAATTTTCGTCGCTAATTTGCCACGAAAAAAAATTCGTCGCAAATTTTTCGTGGCAAAATTCGTGGCAAAATTCGTCGCAAATTATTCGTGGCAAAATTCGTCGCTAATTTGCCACGAACTGTATTCGTCGCAAAATTCATCGCTAATTTGTCACGAACTATATTCGTGGCAAAATTCGTCGCTAATTTGCCACGAACTGTATTCGTCGCAAAATTCATCGCTAATTTGTCACGAACTATATTCGTGGAAAAATTCGTCGCTAATTTGCCCCGAAAAAACAAAAAAAAAATTCTGTTTTTTTAAACAAATTTTTTTTTGCCACGAAATGTATTCCTCGCAAAATTCGTCGCTAATTTGCCTCGAAAAAGCAAAAAAAAATTCTATTTTTTTTAAAAATTTTTTGCCACGAACTGTATTCGTCGCAAAATTCGTAGCTAATTTGTCCTGAAAAAACAAAAAAAATTTCGAAAAAAAAAAATTTCAAAAAAAATTCTATTCTCTAGCTCAGAAATTAACAGGGATATAACCAAGAAACAATTTAAACTGTCTATTTCTCTGAGACAGCTAAGAAATTAACTAGTCGGTGATGGAAAGATTACTATAGCAATGTGCAAGTTTGGTATCAACGCCTAATATGCAAATCTCCTGTAAAAACACTAAATGGGATTATCTATCGCCTATCACATATGTAATGGATTTATCTCGAGTCCTTTTTTTTTTTGCCGTGTATATCAATACTTGACTTTGGCTAAATTTCTTAGGTAACTTTAGACCTAAAAGAATCATCATGTAACTAACTGCATCCTTGTGTGTACATGCTTATTCTGGCTGCACCTATGATTTAATTCTAGGACATCTTACAAAAGGTATTTCCTTTGCATGACTTTCAAGCATCCGAAATAACTCCACAAATTCTAACAATATGTTGAAAGACCAAGCAGTTCCAGAAATGAGTACCATTCGGTAACATAGATATAAACAGCAAGTACCATCTATGTTCAAGGAAATGGAGATGTAAATGTGACAAATTCGGAGGGTAATATAAAAAGTCAGTTCACATAACTATTAATTGTCAAATGCAAACAATAACAACCAATTGACTGAAGAGAACTTAATGAGATCAGAATTACAGTGTCACGAGACCTACCTAAATGACAAGCATAAGAACAAAAATAGTCACTAACATTTTCTACTTGTTGAATTCAGATCCTATATACATTCAAAAAGCAACAGTCGACAAGATAATATAGGAGCATGAAACTACCTTGACTCCCCCTTAATTCAGAGATCATAATAAGATACGCCCACTTCACCTACAAGTCAAAAGACATATTTATTGGGAAGAATGAACATGGATACCAACAAGAAGCTACAACATTAAATCCTCAACTTAAGATTATTTCCAGTGATATCATGGACTATATGCAAAGTTGATATTATTCAAGTAATATCCACCATTTCTTGGAAAATAATCTCACAAACGACATTCAAGAACCGCTCAATTCGAAGACTCGATGCTATGACATAATTGTCAAGAGGGTAAATCTCCCATTATGAAGAGAGAGAAAATAGTAGGGTAAACATAAACTACTGTCCATCGCCAATATTATCGCCATCAATACCTATATCCATATGTATCCAAAAAATTCCAACAAGAAGAGAACTACATCGAAAAACAAAAAAGCTGTTACGGTCCAAAGCATCGACGTTTACTTTACACAAACTTACTTGGTATATCAATATGTGTCAAATACTTTCATCTAGAATATTTTAAACTCGGCTGCTTGCAAAGAAGCGACAACATGATCTCTCGATGAGGTGCCCACAATTAGCATTACATAGCTAGCTGTAATAAGAACCAAAAGACGAACTCCACCACACAAAATGGCAATAAAAACTAGCAAATTTGAAATAATGAGGATAAGGAACTCTAGGAACAGAAAAACAGCAAGCATACTCCTCCTTAAACATTGTAGAAAAATCGTACGAAGAACCGTTCTCTAAACACAAAACTAACAAATGCTCAATCAAAACACATAGTACGCACTCGCACTACAAAATGAAAGCTTACAAGAACTACACTCCAGATGAAGGGAACAAGATACAAGACAGAAAATGCGCCACTTAAATGCGACAGATCAGAACACAAACAATACAACTCCTAATAAAGCCAATTCTAAGCTTGTTAAACTTCCAAAAATTATAATCATCCATATAGCAACTGAGAAACGTAAAGGAAAATCACTTGATAACAAACAAAATTCTAATAGTAAACCAATGAGCACCACTGATAAAATTAGTCTGCAGCTGAACTATGTATATTACCGGAAAACATTGGCAACTCATCGTGAGAAACCAAACTAAGTTGCTCACAAGCCAACGAGACAATTCACATACAAGAATCCGAAACCGATCTGCATCGAACTTCATTTACCTTGTTGATGTGGGGCAAAGAAGAGTCCCTTGCTTGTCTATCTTGCCAACTCGAATCGAAACAAGTGGCATGCAAAAGCATATGGCCAGTATTCCAACTTCTGCAGGCTCGAAATGCTGATGATTAAAAACAAAAGCAAATCCAATAAGCCAAAATCAAACAACAACTTGAACAAATTACCCAAACCTTCTCAATAACGGTCCAATCATGCAATATCTCATAAGGGACTCTGAACCATCCGTACGAAAATTAAAATTGAAAAGAGACTCCCTATCATCAGTAGCACGGTAAAGCGTTTACCCCTCACAGGCCACCAAAACGTAGCCATACATGCTACATACGCCGCGATTATCTCGAAATCAATCCTTAGGCAATGAAATAAGCAAAAAAACCCTAACGCTTCGAGCCAGATAGACACTTAATCTGGATCGAAACAATAAGTACCTGACTGAGGTGAGCCAACAACCAATCCGCAGCCGCGCTGCTCGACTCACTCGACTTCAACAACGGCTTCAATCTCTCATCCGCGCGGCAGCCCCAACCACTTGCATATCGAGCACTGCGGCCACTGCAGAACCCTATCCTCCCGATCGCTCCGCCGTGCATCAACGGATCTCCGTCGCCTCCCCCGATGAAGACGTCTGTCAGCCTCTCCGCCATCCCAATCTCCTCGGCTACCCCCCTCGAGACCCTCGAGCTCGGCCCGGACTCCACCGAGGACGCGTCGATCGACGACAGATCGTCGGGCTCGTCGCGGTCCAGTCGCGTCCGGCGGTTCTCGCCGTTCTCTCCATCGCCGGAGCTAGCCATGGCGAATCTCGATCGCACCTCGCCGAATTCAGGCGAACCGCTGGAAGAAACTCGAGATAACGAACCGGAAAACCACTGATTCCGAGCTCCGAGGGGGCGGAAACCACCGGCGAGAGGCGAGAACAAAGGGAGAAGGGGGAGGGGACTATTGTTGCCATCCATCGTCGGAAGCGCCGCCGAATCGATCGGGTTTGGAGTCAGGAAAACCCTAGACGCGTGCGGCGATCGCCGGAGGCCGCAAGAAGCAGCGTCGGATTCGGGATCGGACCTGCGAATTCACGACGATGAGGCATCAAATTCGCCGAAGACGCAAGCAAATTAGAGGTTGGATTTTGTAGATCAGGGCGACTTGAGAGGCTTGGGGGTGTGGGAGAGGGAGGGAGAACAGCGAGGGGGATCCGAGAGAGAGAGAGAGAGAGAATCGGGGTGAGGGGGGTGAGGGCGGGCAGATAAAAGAATTTAGTGACGAACTTCTGTGTTCGTTGCAAAATTCGCTACGGAATAAAATTCGCGGCTAAATTCGTAGCTAATTAGCCACGAATTTAGCCACGAAAATAAATTTTAACTTCACTTTTCCTGATTTTTTTTATATTCGTGGCTAAATCTGTAGCTAATTATCCACGAAATAAATTCGTGGCACAATTCGTGGCTAATTAGCCACGGATTTAGCCACGAAAATAAACTTTCGCTTCACTTTTCCTACTTTTTTTACGTTAGTGGCTAAATTAGTGGCTAATTAGCCACGAAAATAAACTTTCGCTTCACTTTTCCTTTTTTTTACATTCGTGGCTAAATCTGTGGCTAATTAGCCACGAAATAAATTCGTGGCAAAATTCGTGGCTAATTAGCCACGGATTTAGCCACGAAAATAAACTCTCTCTTCAGTTTCGCCACTATTTTTATTTTCGTGGCTAAATCTGTGGCTAATTAGCCACGAAATAAATTCGTGGCAAAATGCGTGGCTAATTAGCCACGGATTTAGCCACGAAAATAAACTTTCGCTTCACTTTTCCTACTTTTTTTTACATTCGTGGCTAAATCTGTGGCTAATTAGCCACGAAAATAAACTCTCTCTTCACTTTCGCGACTATTTTTATTTTCGTGGCTAAATCTGTGGCTAATTAGCGACGAATTTGTTTTTCGTTGCTAATTCCGTCGCAAATTAGCCACGGAAAATTGTTCATCGCAAATTAGCCACGATTTTTTTTTCGTCGCAAATTCTGTCGCAAATTAGCTACGGAAATTTTTTCGTCGCTAATTAGCCACGAATTTAGTTTTCGTCACAAATTCCGTAGCAAATTAGCCACGAATATTTTTTCGTGGCTAATTTTCGTGGCTAAATCCTCATTTTTTTGTAGTGTCAGAAGCATAAAGATGATGCATTGGATGCATCATGTCTAATGTTAGCTACCATGAACTCAAACCTTTAGAAGTAGTTTGAGAACGTAGATGCCTATGATATGATCATGAACCTGAAAAATTTGTTTCAGGAGCAGGCACGCACTGAAAGGTACCAGACGGTAAAGACCTTAATTGAGTGCAAGCTAGCAAGTGGGAGCTCAGTTAGCCCACATGTCATAAAGATGATAGGTTATATTGAAAACCTGGAGCGGCTGAGCTCTCCCATTAGTCAAGAGTTGGCTACTGACATTATTCTTCAGTCATTGCCTCAAGATTATAACATGTTTGTTATGAACTATAAAATGTATAATCTGAATAAGTCTTTGACTGAACTGCATGGGACGCTTAAAACTGCTGAACAGAATATCAAGAAGGACCCTACCCCTAATGTTCTCATGGTTCAAAAGGGGAAAGGCTTTAAGAAGCCAGGTAAGGTCAAGGGTAAGGGCAAGGGCACTAAGCCCAAACCCAAATCCAAGACTAAACCGGGTCCAACTGCTGATGCAGTATGCTTCCATTGTGGCAAGAATGGACATTGGAAGAGGAATTGCAAGAAATATTTGGAGGATCTGAAGAAAAAGGGATGTGAGACTTCTGATTCAGGTATTTATGTTATAGAAGTAAATGTTACTACTAGTTCTACTTCATGGGTATTGGATACTGGTTGTGGTACTTACATTTATATGAATGTGTAGGGACTAAAACGAAGTAGAACACTTACAAAAGGTGAAGTGGAACTACGTGTTGGAAATGGAGCAAGAGTTGCTGCATTAGCCATAGGAACATATGATGTAGCTTTACCTTCTGGCATGATTTTAGAACTGAATAATTGCTACTATGTACCTGCTATACATAGGAATATTATTTCTGTTTCTTGTTTGGACAAGGAAGGTTTCTGTTTTGATATAAAGAACAATAGTTGTTTATTTTATATTAATGGATTGTTTTATGGTAGCGCCCATATTATGGATGGGATATATGTTCTAAATCTTGATCTGCCAATCTGTAATATAAATACAAAAAGGTTTAAATCTAATGATTTGAATCCAACCTACCTATGGCATTGTCGATTAGGCCACATAAACGAAAAACGAATTCACAAGCTTCATAGTGATGGACTATTAAATTCATTTGATTTTGAAACATTTGATACGTGTGAATCTTGTTTAGTTGGAAAAATGACAAAAGCTCCTTTTACTAATTAAAGTGAGAGGACAAAAGAATTATTGGCCCTTATACATATTGATGTGTGTGAACCACTAAGTTCTACAGCCAGAGGAGGTTATCAGTACTTCATTACATTTACCGATGATTTCAGTAGATATGGATATGTTTACTTGATGAAACATAAATCCGACTCCTTTGAAAAGTTCAAGGAATTTCAAAATGAAGTACATAATCAACTTGGCAAGAGTATCAAGGCTCTTCGATCTGATCGAGGAGGAGAATATTTAAGCCAAGAGTTCAATGACCATCTCAAAGAGTGTGGAATTGTTTCATAGCTCTCTTCCCCTGGAACACCACAGTGGAATGGTGTCTCTGAGAGGAGAAATCGAACTTTGTTAGACATGGTTCGATCAATGATGAGTCATTCAGATCTTCCATTATCTTTTTGGGGATATGCACTCGAGACAGCCGCATTTACACTAAATAGAAGTCCATCAAAAGCTATAGAGAAGACACCATATGACATGTGGACAGGAAAAGTTCCTAGTATGTCTTTTCTAAAGATTTGGGGTTGCGAAGCTTATGTAAAACGTTTACTTTCCGATAAGCTTGGAGCCAAATCTGATAAGTGCTTCTTTGTGGGACATCCTAAAGAAACGAAAGGATATTACTTTTACAATTCATCAGAGAACAAAGTGTTTGTTGCTCGAAATGATGTCTTTTTTACTAAAAGAACTAAGGACGTGGCACAAAGTTCAAACTAAAACGTTAGAATTACAACTAAACTACATCTAACTAACAAAATTTAAAAATTTAAAAAAATTATAAACACACAATGCTAAGAACCTAAAACTCTAGCACTAAACGAGGTTTAATTACTTTCTTAAATAATATAACAATGCTAAACTAAGATTAATCCAGAATCTAAAGAAAGATCATAATTATGTTAAATCTGAAATTATAAGCGACCGAGCTAATCAATACAAGAAAAAAAAAAGATTGGCAGTGCAATGTAAAATTTTGTGGCAATAAGCAAAGATGTGGAACAAATATTTAATCCAATGTGGAAGAGAAGAATTTGCACGATTTTTGGTCTAGCAAAAATTAAAAGGATCCAATGTATACAAGGAACAATTCAAGTTGATAAGGAAAGGAATAAATTGTTAGTGGTCTGCCCTAGGAATCAATCAAGGTTGATACTCTAATATTAGTTGCGGATTAGGTTGTGTCGGAAAACCGACATTCACTATACTTAGGTAGTCATAATGTCTTGCTAGAGACCGCTTATGACTTGTGGGCCAAAAAGGGTTTTGAGCACACTGTTAATGTTTAGTGAACCTACAGGGTTGCACACAACAACAAACTAAGTTAATATTTTTTGTTCGCCGGGATCTACTTAAAATAAGAAGCAGATTTTAATTTATTCTCCTATTCATCTTATCTATGCGGTCGTGCACGTTATGAGATAACAATTAAACGTATAATTAAAAGTGGACAGTTTGGCGGGCCCAAATCGCCCGGCCCTACTTCTTTTAATTCGTGTAGATAATGAATATATATATAGCGTGTGGGTAAAAAGAACCCTAAGAAAAAACGCCTTCAAGAGAATACGAAGAGAATCGTTCTCTATTCATATATCTTTCAGAGAGTCTCGAAGGTCAAAGGCGATCAAGAAAAAGAAATCCAAGATCTTTAGCTAGCACTTGGATCGTTGGAGACTTCCGTTCGTGTGTATGGATACCGGTAGAGGCGCAATACTTGGAGCGCTAATTCAGACACAATCGATTGTCAATTTACCTTCGATCTGCAAAAAAGTACATGTCGAACTTCTATTTAGATTTCAATATACGCATAGATCCTGTCTAGGGTTTTGGTTTATAAATTCCGCTGCATTTTTAGCACTTGAGAAACCCTTCATAAATATCTCAATTCTAATGTGATTAACAAGGTCCATGATAAAGGGTCCTAAAAAGTGAAAAGTCATACATCTTGATAATGCTCCAAGTCCTTCTCACGAGAAAGATGACAACAAAATTGTCTCCCCAATATGGGAAAATCTCACTTGCCTGCTTAAATTGGTGTCCGTTACTTTTCAAGCTTTGATATAACTATCCTCAGGGATGCATCCTCATACATAACCTTAACAATGTTCAAAATGAAATATCCTCACCATCTTTTGTGGCAATGTATGGGTATTTCATTAGCATTGCATTAATGCATAGGGATCTTCATGAAGAGGACTAATCTTTCAAATTGTAAATATACATTTATTTAGGGTGGAATTGTAAATGCCAGTTTGATAGTAAGAGAACTTCTAGTGATTCTGAAGTTTTTACATTCTTAGGATAGTCGTGGCTTCCTTCCTTTACTTTGAGAGCATTAGAAACTTCATTGAAGTAGAAGTGTGCTCTCGGCATAGATCTTGTGTTTATATTAACCATATATGGAGAGAACATTGAAGTTTTGATGGTTATATCTTTGACAAAGAAACTTCATTGGTTGTGTATGTCGAACTTGATGGGCCGCCTTAACACTCAACAGTTTGAACTCAAAAGAACTCAAGAAACCAAACTCTCTGTCACGCCCTGGACCCTAACGGGCTCACGACATCCCTACGACGGTCGTATCGAACGCGACGTCCGAGGACACGTCGCCGACCCAGACGAAATACCCACAAGAATACACAAGCAAAAGCGAAATATAACAACCCAGACAATAGACAAAGACAGAGGGATAATAACATCATAAAACAATAATTTCATAGCAATGGAAAACAGTCACTTACAACATTCGGCCAGATAATCAAACATTAAGTTCCTAGGGTTAACATCCACCATTAT